GATCTGCAGGTGAAACCTTGAAAGCTCGCGAGATCAGGATGGTCTCACGAGGCTATCTACTGTAGAATGACAGTCAGCTATTATCATCTGTAATGTTTGTACGGAGTGAGTTTTGATCCATTATTGTGGCAAAGAACACATTTTGGAAATGGAAATTGGGGAAAAAAATACAATGCAGAAATTAAACTCTGAAAAAGATATTAACAAAAAATAAGGTTTTGAGGAGCTTTACTATTTTCTCAAATTAGATTTTCTAAAGATAATCTTTTTGTTTAGATTTAGATTTTTTGTTTAGCTCGCGAGATCAGGATGGTCTCACGAGGCTAACAGATGGCACCTTGCCTTTAGTAGAACTGAAACAGGGATTAAAGTTATGAATTAATGAAATAATCCTAAATTGATTAATCTGATTGGTCGACTAATCATTAATTAATAAGCAGACATTTTCTTGAAAATTTTCTTGTTTCGAAGGAATCTTTCCATAACACAAAATAATATTTTTTTGCAATATTCTGAATTTTAAAAAAAAGACCATCATGTTTAACTGTGTCACATACTGACTGAATAACTTTAAAATATTTTCTTACACATCATGAAACTTATTAGATGATAGTGACCTATTAGCTCTGTGAATAAAAAAAAAAAGATGAATAAAATGTGAAACACTTGTGCAACGAACAGAAACGTAAAATATCATTAATAGACAGGGTATGGATTCAGCCCCCCCGCAATTGACATTTATGCACTATTTTTGCACGCCACGCATCACTTAACTTGGATTTTCACTTCATTTGGATTTAGTTTTTACATATGCATAGATCTACATACAGATATATATACAGAAGAGCTATATGTGTATATATTTTATCTCTTTTAATTCTTATTTTTTATCTTTATTATATTGTATAGTTGGATGTGTGTATATATTATTTAAAACTGTAACAAAAGTAATTTCCCTCTGGGATTATTAAAGTATTTCTGATTCTGATTCTGACATGGAAAGCATTATAAATTGTAAATACTGGTGATTTTATATACTGAGATCCTTATTTTATCCCTGTATCTTATTTTACACCGTTTATATGGGAAGGATGTAATTTTACTTTTTTTATTCTGTCTTATTATATTAGATTTTATTTTTTTTCTGTCTTCTGCAAACGGTTTCACTGCAAAAAAAGAATTTCCCATAAGTGATTAATAAAGTAATCTGATATACTGTCACACTGTTTGCCCTTCATTTTAATAAAGTAAAAGCTCTCTGTAGGGCTGCAACTGATCGTTATTTTGCAAATCGATTAATCTGTGGATTATTTTTTTGATTAATCAATTAATGATTTTGTAAAAAGTCTCCTTTAGAGACTTTTTACAAAACTAAACCAGATCAAACTAAAACGTTTCCACTTGAGGAGTTCTGGATAGAGCAGATTTTTATATCAAATGCAAAATATTTATATATTTTGGTATAATTACTACTCTAAGTGGGTTGCTCTCTCAGCAAAAGGCATGTTTTAGAGTCTCTATACTCCAGCTAATGATTAATTGATAACTAAATTAGTTGATGATTATTTCATTAATCAATTAATCACGATTAATCTGATTGTCCTAGCTCTCTGCTTTGGATGTAATCCATCAGTGTGGTGGGCGAGACTATTAGCTGTTAGCAGCACTGTTGAACATGTGGTTCTGGTTGTTTTCAGAGGAATGTAAAAATATGGCTCCATGAAGTGCATTAACTGGCCTAATGGTTAGGGCATTATGCTTGGAATCCTGAGGTTCTGAGTTCAAGCCCCACTCCCACACTGCTACTTTTAAGGCTAGGCTTAAAACTTTCCTTTTTGATAAAGTTTCTAGTTAGAGTGGCTCAGGTTATCCTGAACTATCTCTATAGTTCTGCTGCTATAGGCTTAGACTGCTGGAGGACATAGGGACCTCTTTTTCATCATTCTGCTTCATTCTATCTCTATTCTCCCACTCTGCAGAATCTGTTAGTTCAATCTCTAACGTTCTGCTCTCT